ATCTCAATTAGAGTTAAAAGCAGATGATTGCAACAACCATGAGAAATTCATCCCATTATACATTAGGGGGAGTATGTAGGTAATTCACACATTAAGATGTATTGCAATTCAAAGGACAGGTATGCACAATATATCAAAGCAGACTATATGTGTTCCATTAAACACACATCAGCATTTCCATATTACACCTTCAAGAAATTCTTAAGCTATTAAACGAAGATGCCCCGGAGAGTGTGAGGGCGAGTAGCTTGCCTTGACACAACAATAAAAATTGTCCTTTGACGACTTGTAGTCACGGATTTGAGGTGTGGATTAACCTATTTGTAGAAGTATGTATAGTAGGTATAAATTAACTCTACTTATACCCCCACATTATCTAAGATACCCAAACATGACTACAAGGTCTTCCTTCATTAAGAATGTATCAGACATGAAGGGATAGTACTAGAACAACACAATGTCAAGAAAACAGACACCTATTAAGCACTGGCCAACTGATTAAACCCACAATGCAAAGTGCTATGTATGGGTCTAGCTAGTATTCAATGAGCATTGATGCAAAACCTATTTGTAATCCAAAATACGAAGCAGAGTTGAAGTGAGCATTTTTCTGGCAATTCAAAAAACTCGGAAAACACAAATAATGTAAACATTATGTATGCCTAAACATGAGGATAAAAAAGATATCACAAATAATGATCAGGATAAGAGGAACACCAAAAAAAAAGATACATGAAACCTTAACTAAATTACAAACAGCTTATTGCTCCTACCTGTGCTTTGTTCTTATTCAGTATTTTTAATACAACAACTATTAAAACAAGTCTATAAACATCAATCTTGAAGGTAAATGCTCAAGAAATCTCACTCGGTTGTCAGCCTGAACAAATATTATTATTTTCTTAAATCAGAAACTTAAGATAATTGAAACAACTAATCAAGATAAAAGAGTTCATTAGCAGGAAGTAATTTATACAATAATGTATCAACAAAATCAATAAGCCAAAAAGAATCTTCGACAACAACAAACTGTATTGTATATTTGTATTTTGAATTGAAAAGATAAAAAGGAATTTCGAACCTTCAATAAGAAAACCAGCCAGCAATCAAGATAACCAAATGCTATAATTTTTTAGAACTGGTAAGTGGTTATGGCTGCGGCTAGGGTTTTATCTCTCTGTGAACTGACAACAGAGCTTCTAACCCTGTTCTATTATATATAATAATAATTCTAATTGAAACGTGAAGACAGGAAGCGCATCTGGTGTAGTGGTATCATAGTACCCTCCCACGGTACTGACCGGGGTTCGATTCCCCGGGTGCACACATTCAAGATATTTTTTGGTTTCTAGTTATATTTTGGGATAGTTACGGAAAAGAGTAAAATTTTGATATTTTTTTTGTTTTGATATTATAGGTCACCAGTGTAATTGAGGTGTTTTGATGTACATATCTTATTTTTATATTTTTTCGGATACTTACAAGAAAATTTTAAAATTTTGATATTTTTCTGACAATTACAAAAAAGAGTAAAATTTTGATATTTTTCTCATTTCGATATTTTGCACTTCTCTCGATTTTTTACTTATTACTAGTAACTTTTAATATATCAATAAATGACTACTTTTTTGTTTTCTTCCCAAATCATTTTTCATGATCTTAATACTCAACATCAACTAATATGGATGTTATAATAAAATAACCATTTCAAATGAAACTGTATCTTACTACAATAAACATGATATTTAGCTACAAAATTATTAGGCACGACACATAATTCGTCACTAGCTATTCACTTTTTGTGACAAAAATTACATTTCGTATTAAAATCTATGAACCATACTTTTAATGACAAAACATAAAAATTTGTGGCAAAATTTCGTCCAGTTGAGTTTCCCACTAAAATATAATCTGACGTCATTTATTAAGTACCATTAGCGACAAATTTTAATTTATCAGTGACAAATTATTTTGTCACTAATAATGTATCCAATTTGTGACAAACTATTATTTGTCTAAACATTAGTTACAGTTTTGGACACAAAGCCTTTGTCACAAAAAAAAAGAATTTATTAAAATAGAGACAAAAGTTCGTCATTGAATATTGTAAGCTTAAGCCACACAAAATTTTATGTTTAATTGTAACCTTATTTTTTGTCACTAATACTCTAAGCAATCAGTGATTATAATTTTATGACTCTAATCAATGTGTGATGTAGTGACAACATGCTTTTGTTCTTCTTAAATATGCAATGTTTAAATAATCTTTGGCTATACTTGTTTATGATTACATGCGGAAATAAAGTATAATAATTTCAAAGTTAATTTCTCTCTATTATACCCTCAATTTATATAACATTGGGTAAATGTCTTTGAAAAATTTATTGAGTAAATAGGTTTAAGATTCTACTAAATAAAAATGGTAAAATGATAAATTCACTATATCAATCATTGTTTTTCTTAATAGGTGTGTCAAGTCAAAAGTTGACAAGTAAAAAATGAACGAAAAGAGTATTTTCTAATAACTCTCACTAAATTAGTAGTTATTTCATATTTCTTGGGCTCACACCAATTTTTTTTTAATTAAAACACTAATTAAAATTTACAATATTGTTAATATTTGTATGTATTTGTTTTAGCTTAATGAGTCATTTACAATATACAACTATAGATCTTATCTTAGAAAAGTTTTTCTACCACATAAATATGAATAAATTATTTTAGTTAAAAGTTTTAATTAATTAAATAAACACTACTTAAAATTTACGATGTTATAATATTTATATAAAACTTATTTATATTTTTAAAAAAATCTAAAATTATATAAATAAACTACTTAAAATTAAATAATAACTTCATGAACAAATATTGGATTCATGCAAAGCATGATGTATTGCTACTAGTAGTATATAAGACTATATGAGCGCACGTGTCAAAGTCAACATTCTTTGTGGGATATCAATTAAATTGAAGGTCGTTTTTTTCATTTGATTATGAAAGTATTAAATTGGATTTCTAATAATTCTATATATTTCAAAATTGCGTAAAAACTATTATAAATCACAATAATTTGAAAAACTATATAGAAAGTTTATGTTATTCCCCTTGTCCAATTTATCTGACACTAATAAAAATATTATAGTCAATTTAATCTTTTATATGTCTTTTAATTTTTAATTATTGTGATTGTGTCACCGAATTTTGATCGACCTATAACTCTTTTCGAAATACTATTTAATTATAAACTTTAATATTTGTAATTTACAAAATTATTATTATTTCTGATTTAAAGTTCTAATCGATTTTGCCTAGAAGTTGCGTATTTTAATATTCATAATTTATACAAATTATTGTAATTAAAGTCGAAATAATTATCTTACTCAATGTTTTTACAAATTTAAGTGTGTTTAATTATATGAAAATATTTTAATATGTGTAGTATTTAATTTATTGAATAGCACTTTCTTTATTTTTCTCCAATAATTTTTAACCTATTCTATTCGAATTCATTTCAATTCTAGTCATTTCAATTCAAATTTTCATTTCAATTATAGCCATTGTTGATTTCAATTATACCCTATTCTTATTCCTATTATCAACTCCAAATTATGATTTAATCTCAATCGTTCATCCTATAAGTTAAATCTAAGATCAAATCGTAAGCGGTCATTCAAATGTCTTCAATGGATGAGATCGAAACCCTCTACCTTCCTTTTTTAATACACAAAAAGCCTTTCGTCGTAATTTTTTTCCCAGAAAAAATCTATCATAAAAACTGACTTTTTGATGAGGATATTAAATAAATAAATAAATAATATAATATAATATTTTTTTTTCTCAATTAAATATCAAAAACAAAATTGAGAGATATTTTGAATGAATTTTATTTAAATCGTCTTTCGAAGGACGATTTTGTGTAAATAACAAAATCTTTGAATAAGAAATACGTTGATTAAGAAATACGTTGATTAATTATATGCTCCTCGAGTAGTTTAACAAATCATATATTATATATTAGTGTTTTCAGATATGAAATACATTATCAATTAAAGAAATACCGATGATCAATCTAAGGAGATTTATATATAAAAATTGATATTGATAAACTTTTGTTGATCCACTATAAAAAAAATACAATGTTAGAGACAAATATCTAGCGACAACCATATTCGTTTCTATCTACCGACGAATTAGCGACAAAATAATGTGTATGTTACTAAAAATAAAAATAAAATTGATATTTACACTAGCGACAACAAGTCAAATTTGTGGCTATCTTTTTAGCGCTAAAAATTGGCGCCTTTATTTTGCAACACAAATATCGACATAGGCATGAGATAATCTTCTGTTGAATTTTAGCGATGGATGCAGTGACGATCTCTTTGGATACGCTCAAACTATACTTTCCTAAAAAAAGTATAAGCGGTCATATCAAATAAAGAACTCAAATGTTAGGTTGGGGTCGATCCCACGAGGAAAATGGTTTAAACTTAACTTTATTCTACGATTACTTCTATTTAGTCAAGTGCTTTCCAGAAACAAATAATTAAAGGGGGAATTTTGTGTAACAAAAGTAATTAATTAAGTCTATGTAAACAAGTAGCTAGTTCAAATATTTGATGTTTATCAAGTGATTAGAGAAACTAGGGTGTGAGTGTTCTCCATAGATTCATAACACAATATAACAACTTTTTGCTAGTATCTTGCGTGCAAAGTGGTAAGCTATGTATCCCTAATTCCTTGGTCCGACAACTAGTGAATTTCACTCCGCACCTTGGTCCGGCTACGTGTGTGTACTTTACTAAACCTTACCTTTTACCGCATATTAAGCATCATAATCAATGTATGGCTTAGTTATGACTTCGCACCAATAGACACTAGCCTGTTAGATAGTGTATACTAAGTCTACATTGATAATTCTTTCTTATTATCTATCTTCTTGGTCAGTCAAGTAACAACAAGACGAGTTCTAACGTTGGCCACCGTTAAAAAGACTTCTAAACGAAAAAATTATCAATACATGCAAGACACTATTCTAGAATTGTTATTTTAGCTAGTTCTACTTTGTTAATTACCCATGGTTCCCACAACCCTAATTGTGGATTTAGTTACCCATATTGAGAATTACACAATTCATATTGATTAGACAAGAATTCATGTACTCACTTTAACATGTTTGAAGAAAATCCAGAAAATCACTTGTATTAATCAAAATATTGTGAGAATCAATTCCAGAAAAGTGAAGTATTTTCCAAAATCCAAAGTTTAACAACCAATAATACAAATCTGAAAATTAACAAAGAATCCAACCACAAAAACAAGGTTTTTAGTCCAATTTATAATAAAAGAGTCCTAAAAATAAAGGGAAACCCAAATAGGAAAAATTCTTTCCAAAACGCGTCTCGAGTCGACGACCTCACCGATGGATCGTCGAGGGAACGACGGATCGTTGACGCCTCTGTCGGTCCATACTTCAACTCCAACTCTTTTTCAGCTGCTATCTTCTCTATCATTCTGTTACCATCGACGGACACAAACAACGGTTCGTCAATGGACCTACGGTTCATCGATGGTCGTCGTAGCTCCATACTTAGAATCTTTTCAAAATCAGGTACTAGAGCTACATTCTGTTAACACCAACGGTTTGCCAGGATGGTCCGTCGATGAGACGACGGACCGTCATACCTTCCGTAACCACACTTAGTCAGAATTCCCCGATCTTTCCTTAGCAGCATAAATCTTCAAACTATGGTGGTCACCTAAGGACCGTCGATGAGTCGACGAACCGTCGATGGCTTCGTAGGTCATCACTTCGGCAAATTTTAGCATAGTCTTCAACGTTTTTGTTCTGGACAATTTTCCTGCAAACATAGAGAAAAATACATTAAAACTACTTCAAAGAAGCCTTAGACACACACTAAACTTATGTAGAAAACATTTAAAGTATAGTGAAACCACGTTACATCAACACCCTCAACTTAAATTCGTTGTCTGTCCTCAAGCGACGCACTATGACTCACCACAAAAACCTTTGTACAAAAATATCCTTATTTAGCTTTCGTAATCATCTGGCTATCAATCCTGATTCTTTTCATTATGTTCATGCATGATATCACTATTAGGCTCGCTCATGTGGATCAGACCATGACACAGACTCACCACGCACCGACACCTCTCTCTTTTATATCTCACTAAGGTGACAACTTTCTAATATTGCAATTAGTGTCCTTTCTTTAAAACAATATCCTCCTTTTTCAGACAATGATTTAAGTTTGAGTATAAGGATTATTTTTCAACACTTAATCTTAGAATAACTTCTCACCTCATTGGTACTTTGTCACCATAGACTTGCCGTTATTTTCAGTGCTTTAAGTTCACCATATTAGACT